CTCCGGAGCGCTATCGCTATCTCATTTTATTTCGCGACGAAAATTAAATAGCGATAGCGCCCCGGGGCGGTGGTGCGCTTAATTCGAACGCATCAAATCCTCATTCTGTCACCAATAAATTTAGACTTACGATCCATCACCATCGACTTATGGATAACAAATTATTATAACCAATAAAAAATATCATAACTATTTGTTTATAATTAAATAAACAAATGAATGATAAAAATTTAGAAAAAAAATATTCACGAATTAGAAAATAATTGGATAAGATTATGAAAAAAGATTAAAAAGATCTAAACATAAATCTTGGTTTTTTTATAAAAATTATAGGGAAATCTGTTGTCGACAACTTCAATAGTTCCTGGAGAAGCGGTCACAAGAGCTGGTGGCAGTTATCAGCCTTTAAAAATATTTAATACCAGTATCGGGAGATAAATCTTTATATTTTTTAAAAATTCAGGACTAAACGTCGCAAATAACTGCACAACTTCCTGGAGCAGCGGTCGCAGGAGCTGGTGGCAGTTATCGGCTCTTAAAAATATTTAATACCAGTATCGGGAAACAACTTTATATTTTTAAAAAATCCAGGACACAACGTCGCAAATAAGTGCACAACTTCCTGGAGTAGAGGTCACAGGAGCTGGTAATTGTAGGGATATCTGTCGCCGACAACTTGACAACTTCCCGGAGCAGCGGTCACAGGAAAATATATCTCCTCTCTGTTATATTTTGTATTTTAAATTATTTCGCGCTCAATTCGTATGACTACGTTTACAATTGTCTTTCTTATAAATTATCAGAATTTATATTTATCCGTATTTACAGATTTTCATAATTACAGATATCAACATTTATTGGTCTATATTTACAGATTTCCATATTTTAAGTTTACTAATATTAATGACTGTCTATTTTTTTATGTTTCTAAATTTATAATTGTCTTTTTTTCGACTTGTCTGAATTTATTCTTTTCTTTTTTTTTAAATATCAGTCATTTTAGATGCTTATATTCTGATGCGTCTAATTTCATGGAAATCTTTTTTTTTTATTTTATAATTTTACGCTTATCTTTTTTAAAATAATTCTAATTATTTTGATTACTACATTTTTTCATTGCTATTTTTTAACTAATCGATATTACAAAGTATCCTTAATAAGACACATCATTTTTTTATTATTTCTGAAATCTTATTTTTCCATATTTTTCATTTTTTTGATTTCCTTACTCACAGATTTCCAAAATTTGATGTTTCCATTTTCTGTAAAATTTCCGACCGTAAAGAATCAATGAAACGCATTGTAATTAAACAGAACTTAAAAACAAAATAATTTTTATGAAAATTTGGTTCAATGTTTCAAAGTCAAATTTTTTTTGATTTCCTTACTCACAGATTTCCAAAATTTGATGTTTCCATTTTCTGTAAAATTTCCGACCGTAAAGAATCAATGAAACGCATTGTATAATTTTCAGGTCACATTAAAAAAAAAAAAAAAAAAAAAAATATAGAAGTATTAAGAACTTAAAAAACACTACAAAAGTCCGGAAAGTTTATCGTAAAACTTGAAAAAATTGATTTTGAAAATTTTTAATGAAATAATAAATTAAAAAAAAATTGTGCCGCCAAAACTTTATTAATTTCCTACGTATAAGGTAAAAGCCCCAGTAGCTGCTCATAGACCAGTACATGCTCACTCCATGTATTTGTATATCTATATTTGTGAATATCCTAATTTTCAAACCTTTTATATTCATTTTCACATTTCTGTTTACATGAGTTTATCGTTCCAGATCATCTCAGATTATTATCTTCTATAATTTGTATAATTTGTACCACTGAGTTTAACTCTTAAACTTTTAATACTCAATTTTTTTATACTTAAGTTTATTTTCTTTCTTTTATTTGTTAAAATTGTATTCCAAATTAAGAATTAAGAAAAATAATCAATTCTTAATATTTAATATTTTTGAAACTTTATATCTTCATTAGTCATACGTGTACTTTTATTGTAACTCTTTTTGTATACTCTTGCCATCTGGCTATACTGCCTTGGCATTGAAATTAAATAATAAATAAATAAATAAAATATAGATACATAAATATATGGAGTGAGCATGTACTGGTACATGAGCAGCTACTGGGGCTCTTACCTTAAATGTTTCAAGTTTGCGTTTTAATAATTTACGATACTGAAATGAACAAAAATCTGTCAGTTTTTTTATTATCATAACAAATAAATTATTAAAAAAAAAATCATTTTTTAAATTTCACATCTAGAAATTTAAATAAATTACAAGTGCAAATTTTTGAAAAATATTGTTTTTATCGATTTTTAATAAAAATAAAAATTGTCAGATGTCATATGACTGAAGTTGACAGATGTTAGAAATTTTTTTATAATTTATATTAATAGCAAATTATTATGAAAATAATTTAATAAAAATATTTCACATGAGAGAATTATAAAGAATAATTAGTGGAAATTTTTAAAAACATTTTTATTATTGTTATTGATTTATTATGAAAATTTAAAAAATTGACAAATGTCAGCTGACTTCAGTATCATCAGATGTCTACTGATTTCAATATCATTTTAAGTTACCTATTATCAACAAAAATCTACACTTCTTAGTTCTTAATTCTTTTAAAATGAATTCATTTTTTTTTACACGAAACTATTCATAACAAAGGATTGTCAACATTATTTTATCTCAGGTAATTGATTTAGAATTTTGACAGATGAATTACAATTCCATCAATACTGAGAAATTCAAACAGAAACAGCCAGTAGATAGCTCTGCATTGAACTTCCAATATTTAGCAGGTAGTGACCTCGGTGACAACCTAAGCTGGAGTGAGCTGAGCTGAAGGGTTAAGGGTTCGTCCAGCTAATAAAGTAATCCCGAAAATTACGTCCTCACCTCGAACCCCGACAAAAGGTCTATATCCCTCAGTAGTATCTGGAATTGGGGTTTTTCAGCCATCCAGGTTCTGAAACAAACAAAGAAGCGTCTCACTAGCAAGTCGGTAGATGTGCGCGTGTGTAATTAATTAGTGAACAAACGAGCGTAAATACATGCGTGCGTGTCACTACTATCACCATCCACCGTCCACAATATTATATATCGGGGCGTGTACATACATCCTCATTTACCATTGAAATAATATAAATATAATAAATATATTTTACAGTTAGCCAGCTAACGACAAATAGAATCATCAACAAATAATGGTAATCTACAACCTCGCCAACAAATTGCAATTATTGTAATGTTACTATGTGAATATTGTTTAACAAAAACAAAAGTGTCTACTGGTGGTACTGCTGCTGTATGTTTTGTGGTCGCGCGCATGTTCAGCTTATCGCCATTTTGTAGGTGAATATTACCATCCTAGCTTTTTTATTAACACACACATATATAATCCACAATCTACATTTCAACATATATATAAACTTTAAAAAGTCACTTTTTACAGTACTAGTTATTTTAAAATTCATTTTATCATATTTAGCAATCAATCATCACCTACTGTCACTCAAAAAACATTTACATTTTTGGTAAATTTATTTACAGTGATTCTGCTCCTTGTTATTGTTGTGTGTTGTCGGGCAAGATTTATTAACGTCAATCGTCAATTGCAACCCAAGTTTCTCCAGCAAGGGAGCTATTACATTTTTTTTTATTTTTCACAATCACATCAATTTTTTTACATGAACAGTGTTATAAAATAAAAAAAAAAATTTTTTAAAGTGCGACTAAGTCTGAGACTGATAAGTAATTTGCAGTCGCGGCCAATGCCATGGCCATTGATTTTTGATCATAATAAATAAAATAATTTTTATGACACTTGTTTCACTTTTATTATTCTGAAAGTAGCAGACAGACATTTTTATTTTTTATTAAAAAAATTAAATATTTGTTCAAATTTAGATTTTCGTGAAATTAATTTTTTTTTGCTTTATTTTAATAAAATTGAGTGTCTGCTATTCATATTTTTAATTTTTTTTAATTTTTTTTTTTTTTTTTTTTAGTAATTGTGAATTTAAATTGAATAAAATAATATTTTATTGTAGGTAAAAAAGTCTAGATAATTAGAGGATGGACTGACATGAACTCACACGAGGCACAAGGTAAAATTCTATGAACAAACGCGGTGGTGCTGTTGTTGGTGGCGGTGGTGAAGAACCATCGGGTAATAACCCTGACAGTGGTGATAAAAAAAAAAGTGACGGACAATTAAGTTTGTACGTACTGATATTAAATTACTATGCCAGCAGTACCGAGACCTGGTAGTCTCAAGGACCCCGAGATTGCCGAATTGTTTGAGAAAAATGACCCGGAAAAAATATTTGAAGATCTGCGGGAGATCGGACATGGAAGTTTCGGGGCTGTTTACTACGCCAGGTGTTTACTCACCAAAGAGATTGTTGCTATCAAGAAAATGTCCTATCTTGGGAAGCAGACGGTGGAAAAATGGCAGGATATTCTCAAGGAAATACGCTTTCTGAGACAGCTTAATCATCCAAATACCATTGAATATAAAGGATGTTATTTGCGTGATCATACAGCATGGGTAATTTATTTATTTTTTCTATTTTATTCAGTAATGTAGTATTTGTTTAACAAAGTCCAACTTGATATAAATTAAAATTTTTGTTAAATAATTTTTTTTCTAATTAAGCTTGTATTTTTATTAATAAATATATTTATTTTTTAATAATATATTAAGTTACTTTGAATTTATTTATTAAATATGTGATATAAAAATTATTAAACAATTGGACTTCTTTAACTATTTTCTTATAAATCATGTAAAAATAATAGTATTTCAATACATTTTTCAATTTTTTTGACTTAATATTTAATAATTGAATTTATTGTTTTTTCAAACATTTATTTATTTGTCTTCAATAATAAATTTCTGAAAAAATAAGTCATTTGATGAATGTTTTAGTTACTATCGATTAGAAGCCAGTTCATTAATAATATTTCAACAAACTACATTACGTGACATTTAATAATCGTGACATAATAATAAAAAAAAAATCAATCAAACAAAATAAATTATTAAATAATGACTGTGACATTAAACAACAATAAATATTCTGTTAATAATATTTATAAAAAAAATAAATACAATTTAAATAGAGAAAGGTATTAAAATACAATTATTTCTTTGCATATAAAAGAAAAAAATTCTATAGCTATAAATAATTTATTATTTATTATAAATATTTAATCTAGCTGGTAATGGAGTACTGTCTTGGCTCGGCTTCTGACATAATAGAAGTCCACAAACGTCCATTAAAAGAAGACGAGATTGCAGCAATATGCGAAGGAGTATTACGCGGATTACATTACCTCCACTCGTTAGGTAGAATACACCGTGACGTTAAAGCCGGTAATATTTTATTAACTGAAAATGGGACAGTTAAACTCGCAGACTTTGGTTCTGCTAGTATTAAATGTCCAGCGAATAGTTTTGTGGGTACTCCTTACTGGATGGCTCCGGAGGTTATTCTGGCTATGGACGAGGGTCAGTACGATGGAAAGGTTGACGTTTGGTCGCTCGGAATCACGTGTATCGAATTGGGTAAGGTTTGTTTTGTTTATTTATTTTTTAACTGGAGTTACAGCGACAAGGTACTCATTTACTTATTACTTTATTCAACACAAATAATGATAATTAATAATGTTAAAAATAATTGCAATTATAGCAATGGTTGTAGTGATAGAGATGATTGATAATGCTTACTGACAGATTTTATTATTTATTTCAGCGGAAAGAAAACCACCGTATTTTAACATGAACGCTATGAGTGCGCTTTATCATATCGCGCAGAATGATACACCAACGTTAAATTCTCCAGATTGGTCAGATGTGTTTGGATATTTTGTTGAAGTATGCTTGACTAAGAGTCCAAATGAACGGCCATCGTCTGGTACATTACTTTTGGTAATTATCAAAATTAACTAACTTAGTAATTAAGTTACTACACCCTCGTTTTGTTTATTAAAAAAAAAAAAATAAATAAATATATAAAATTATATGTCATTTGATGGATTAAAAAAATTTATCACAATATTTATTTATAAAAATATATTAATAATTTATTAATTTTTTGATTACATATATAGATCAATAAAAATATGTTATTAAATAATTGTGTGTTATCGCGGTTAGATTATTCAAATTTATTTTAATTCAATATGCTAATTAGAAATTAATTTTTTTTTTTTATGAAATTAGTAGAGTTTGAATATTTTGACAGGTTTGAAAAAATGTTAAATCGATTTTAATACTGTTTTTATGAAATAGACCCACAGAATTTTTTTTTTATTTGTCATAAAAGTTAAAAATAATGTTGAATAAATTCATTTTTTTTTTTTACGCGACTACATTAAAAATTAAATATTCAATCTCTACTAACTTTTCACATGAACTACAAATAATTATTTTGATAAATATCTTAATAATAATTTAAAAACTTTAAACTCAAATATATATTAGTAATTAATAATTATTAAAAATATTCTAGCATCCGTTTGTAACACGTACGCGTTCACCTCAAGTTTTAATCGACTTGATTCAACGAACAAAAGCAGCAGTACGTGAATTAGATAATTTAAATTATAGAAAAATGAAAAAAATATTAATGATTGACGCTTGTGAAACTGAAAGTGCTGCTGGTGACGCTGATGGTTTGTATATTATTTTATTTATCTCGTTTTTATTAATTGTCTTGATATTAACGATCGAATAAATGTTTGTAGATACACCTGACGAACAAACAGGTGGTGATAGCAGCAAGAGCAATTCAATAACATCAGAGCACTCGATTCATTCAATGGGTGTTTCAGCAAGTTCACAAAGTTCATCAACAAATAGTCTACCACTGCCGAACGCAGATGCAAATGATTTTTCATCTGGATCTGTTCGTAATCGCCACAAAGTATCGGGTGTCACTGCCAATTTGCTCGAACATGGTGCCAATAATTTTGCCACAATACGTACTACATCAATAGTTACTAAACAACAAAAGGAGCACATGCAAGAAGAAATGCATGAACAGATGAGCGGTTACAAGCGCATGCGTCGTGAACATCAAGGCGCGCTTGTTAAACTCGAAGAGCGCTGCAAAATGGAAGTTGAGTCACACAAACAGCTCCTAGATAAAGAGTATGAAACTTTATTGCAGCAGTTCAGCAAGGAACTGGAAAAACTGCAGTTCAGGCACATGCAGGAGTTAGAGCGTAAGTTGAAACAAAATCAAAATGCCGAGAAGAAATTACAGAAGGAAATAATTGGTCGTCAGGAGGCTGATCGCAAAGCACTGGAGACTCAGCAGAAACGCGAGTACAAGGCTTACAAAGAACGGTGGAAGAAAGAGCTTTCACAAGATGAAGTTACACCCAAGCGACAACGTGATGCAACTCTTCAGAGTCAGAAGGATAATTTGAGGCAAATGGAGGCTCAAGAAGAGCAGCGACTCGCTCGAGGCCAACGCGAGTATCTCGATCTGGAGATACGTAAATTTCGCAGAAAAAAATTGCTCATTTTTCACAGTCTTGAACAGGAATTGCTGCGCGAGGAGCTCAACAAACGCCAGCAGCAATTGGAACAAGCGCATGCCATGCTGTTGAGGCATCATGAGAAAACTCAAGAACTTGAGTACCGACAACAAAGGGCGGTACACTCGTTAAGAGAAGAACAAATCCAACGACAACACGCCACTGAGCTATGTAACCAGCAGGATTATATGCAGCGCGCTGAGCGGGATTTGAGGAAGAAACACGCGCTTGAATTAAAACAGCAACCGAAGAGTTTGAAGCAGAAAGAGATGCAGATCAGAAAGCAGTTCCGCGAGACTTGCAAGATTCAGACGCGCCAGTACAAAGCTCTCAAGGCCCAGATTTTACAGACGACACCTAAGGATGAGCAGAAAACGGTGATCAAAAAGCTTAAGGAGGAACAAAGACGCAAGCTCGCTCTGCTGGGTGATCAGTACGAACAGAGTATTGCTGAGATGCTGCAGAAGCAGAGTATCAGGCTGGACGAGTCCCAGGAGGTTGAGTGTCATCACCTTAAAGAGCGACTTAATTACGAGCTCGAGATTCTGATGGCGTATCAGTCCAAAAACAAAATGCAAGCTGAAGCCCAGAGAAACCGCGAACGTCGTGAGCTAGAAGACCGTGTTTCTGTAAGACGGGCTTTGCTTGAACAGAAAATGGAGCTTGAAACTCAAGAATTTCTGCAGGAACGCAGCGAAAGAATCAGGTTGTTGCATGAGAGGCAGGAACGCGAACTTCAGCAGTTTGACGACGAGAGCGCAAGAATTGGTTTTAGGTATTGAATTTTTTAAATGTTTCTGGGGTTTCATCTAGTCGTGGAGGTTATATGTATAAAAAAAAAGATAGAAAAGTTTTTGGGTGATATTGATTTTACGAATTACTAGACACACCACTAGAAGAGTTGGAATATCTGAGTACTAGGGAGTTATAATCGCAGTAGAGAGTTTTGATAAGATTTTATACTTTGACAAATATTTATGTTCGGTTTAATAATTTATATTTCTAGTTTTAGTCAAAAAATTGATAATGGAAAAACAATAATCAGGTTTTCGACTCCATGACTAGTTGAAATACCTTGAACAATCCTGAACAATTATTTAAAATTTGAAATACTAATATAAAATAATTTTTTTTCAGCGCATTAGCAATAGCCGAAGCATCAAAAGAATCTTATCCAGACGACGATAGTCTAAGTGGTTCCATGTTGAGTTTAGCTCACAGCAATAGCTCTACATCTTTTCCTCCCAATAGTCTTTAATTGTCAACATTTGAATAAATATTAATAATAATATAATTATAATAATAATTACTATTAATTATTATTATAAATATATATATATATATATATATATATAACACAATAACAATGAAGATCCCTAGAACATGTCTCTAAACGAGCCCACGTGACATTAATTTTAAAAAATATCTAGAAGACTACGTAGTTTTAAATGTATCAAAAATTAATCATACTGTGAATGGCTAAGGTCTCCAATGAACATTTAATAATTATATGTAATCCCACTATAGCGCAAGCTCATCTTCATCTATTTCATTAATCATTTTTTTTTAAATTAACTAAATCACTTACCTCAAGCTATCATTCCCTGTTATTACATTTTGTATGTTGTACCGCTAGTGGTTTATCTTGCATCATCAAATTGTGACATTCATTTCAAATCAGAGTTTAAACGCTCTAACGAAATAAAGCAACGATTTTATTTAAATATTTTAATTATTATCACAACAATCAAACATTTTATTGTTTAACGTTAAAAACAAATAATTTTGCGGTAAATATTAATTAAAAGTGTCACAATCTGATTATTAAATGACATAAAGATTAAAGTTAATTATAATAACCATGTAAATAATTTAAAGCGAACTAAATGTATCAGTTCATTAAGATTTAGTGTGTATGAAAGTTTCGACGGTAATATTAATAATTAAATATAATTAATAATTGTTTACATATGATAACATATGAATAATTAAAAAAAAATATTTATATAAAAATATAATTATATTTAATTATTTCTCATTTGGCTGAGATTTATTTGGTACAGCGACCATATTTTTTAGGATCTGCTCCAATTATACGATAATATGTTATATATTAACAATAACAATAATAATGATTAATTATTACCTAAAAGTTTAAATTTGTTTGTATTATAAACGATCGCTACGAGTATATCAACCATTAATTAGATTAATAATTAAAATAAAAAAGTACGATTTGAGTAAAACTAGAAGTAAAGTATCAGTAATAATTATAGGGTTAGATTAAGTAATTGAATAGTTACTATTACTGAATGAATTGATAATTAATATTATTATTTTTTATTGATAATAATAATAATAATAATAATAATAATAATAATAATAAATAAAATTAATGCACTTTGCTATCATTGCCGATAAGAAGTTTAAGAATAATATGAAACATAACTTTTTTAATTGTTGGCATTTGGAGATGTTTGCTATAGACTTAACTAAAATATTAAATAATTAATAAGTAATGTAAAAACAAATGCTTGATTTTTTTTTTTTTTTTTTTTTTTTTTTTTTTTTTTCTTCAAAGCACGATTGCGTATAAGTAGCGAATAATACATCTGCGTGCGTGCGTATAAAAAATTAATTATTTAATTTATAAGATCTTTTTTTAAATTGCTTTCCATTCTCCAAGACGGGCTCTTCCAAAAGGCAATTATTTTAATTGCCAATGAATAAAACAAAATAAATAAACAATTAATTAAAATAATTATTTTTTATGATTAAATATTTAAAAAATTAAATATTAATGATAATTAATTTTTTATTACTATTTTAAAAAGACGTTTAATATACGAATACCAGTTTTCAAATAACACTTGTGTCTTTTTATTAAAAATATTTGTATAAATGAAATATTCGACAAAGCCAATGTTTCTAATAGTTAATAAATAATCATAATAATAATTCATCATATTACGTATTTTCACGCGCGACCAATCTCAATGATTTATATGCGGCAATTAACAGTTTCACCTGAAATAGATTGAAGAAAATAAAATTAAATATTAATTAAAAACAACCTCCTTTTTTTAGATATTTTATTATATTTATCAATAGTATTTATTAATTAATACCAATTAATAATCTAATTAATTAGCTGTTAATTTATATACCAATTAATATACACATAGAATTGTTAAATCAAGTCTCAAATTCAAAATTAAACATCAATTATTTTTCCCGTTCGCTGTTATTAAGTGTATACTCATTAATTACAAATATTAAAAAAAATAATAAGTATTTGCGTATAGTAATTGTGATAAGAATGTTACTTTGAATGACTTCGTTAGAATATTGAAAAAAAATAAGACCTTTCTTTAACTGATAAATCATTTTTAACAAAAATAATATTTATATATTATATATATATATAGAAAAAATTCGTAATTATAAACAATAAAAAACTTTTACTGAGTAGGTGAAAATGATGTGGGTTTCAAAATACGGGAATGCATTTCACGTATCAGCGGTACTGTGTAAGCAACACACTCGTCCCATCCTGGTGACCTCCATGCACTTTCACGTGTTTCTTTTCTTGCTTGTAAATCTTTATAGCCTATTAATAATTAACATTATTATTAATTTCATGAAAAATTTATTGTTTAAATTAAAATCAAAAAAATTTCTATTCTATGCTACGAAATTTTCATTATTTTAATCTGAATTAATTTCCACAGTAAATTTACTATTAATCAATATCTCAAGCAAATTCTTCATCGAATATTTTAACTCTTATATAAACTTACAAAGTAAAAAAAATTAAAAAAAATACTTTTCTCAATAGCTTGAATAGATTCTCTAAAAATACTTCAGTAATGACTTCCATGAAATACTTTCAAGATAAATTTTATATAAGAACTTTAAAAATAGATATCTAATGAACCTTTGAATTACTATTGAAACCTGGATTATTAAGTTGTCACAAAGATAAATGAATCTACAAGTGCCAATTTAATTCACGAGTAAAAGTAATTTCATTAATTCTATCTCTATTTACAAACATTAAACGGGGGTTTTTTTTTTTTTATTATTTCTACTATAATTTATTTCAAACCCAGTAAATATTCAAATATTTTTATCTCTCCTTGATAACTATTAACTCACTTAATTTTCAATCTTTTTTTTTTTTTATCAAATCACTGATTTATAGATAAGATATTTAATCCAAATATTTTTTCTAAAAATCACATTGAAGATGTCATAGCATTTTTTCCAGCTCTCTGATTTTTTAATTTAAAAAAACTTGACTAATCAGAATAAATAGAGAAAAAAAAAAAAAAAAAAAAAAAACGTATATTTGCATGTCAAGAAGTATCAGAAATAAAATCTTAATTTCTGAATTTTAGTCTAAAGATGTAATATTAAATAGCAAAAATACTTACACCAAATATGATGAACATTATACAGGCGACCAATTTGGGAAAAGTAACCAGCAAAGGGTTCATCATTATTTCTCCTGTGGTTAATAGCTCGTGCCCAATTATTTCCCCACTCAATCATAGTACCAGGTCTCAATCTGTAGCTTCTTATCTCGTAGATATTGGGGCCCTCACGTTTCCCGAGTTGCGGCCAGTAACTAAATGCGAGCAGATACTGTAAATGCCGTGATCTCAAATAATTACCGCGTTCACGAAGTAATCGTTGATAAGCCTGTAAGATAAAACCGTAAATAAATCCTGAGATTGAAGCCAGTGAACCAGTGAATTGATTCAATAAATCAATCAGCTAATTAATTATTCAATACTTCGTCCTTAGATAATGCAAGCTGAGCACGATCAATACGTTCAAAGCCACCGGTGTATTGCCACAAATGTAAAGCTTGATCAAGATCCCCGACTTCAACGGTCCAGGAGCCGACTAATTCGCAGTTTAATTCACTTTTCTTCGAATGGATAAGATTTACATTTTCCTGGCTGAATTTTAAGATGATAAAATTTAAGATTTATAAAATTATTATATAAGTATTATTTAAATCTCATAAAACGTGTCAACAGAATCATTTTTAAAAGTCTGCTCAAATGTTTACTTGAACATTGTACTTACTAATTAGCGAGATACTTGTCAATAGAATCAGGTCGTATATTGTGTGTATGTAATGCATAAATAACTTCTTTGTCTGACAGCATACGCGAATGTGATTCTTTGGTGGGCTCAATTTTTTTTACACCAAGCTTACTTAACCATCCTTCACTTTTATGGTCTTGATTTAATGGCAATGTTCGCGATATAAATCTACAATTAAAAAAAAAATTAGTTTTTATATTATTTACTTTGTAAAAAATTCACTTATGTTAAATAATTATTTGTCCTCCAGACATTTTATATATTATTGACAATTAAATCAGACCATTTTTCATTTTTATAAAACGGATTTATTATTACAAAGAAAATGTTTTAAAAGGTTGTATTTTTTTATTGAATATTTAATTCTGTCAGCATTGATAAAAATACATAAAAAAATTAATACTTACCGAGTTGTTGTAAACATAGGCAAATTTCTAGCAATTGCCGGTATGGATAACCGTCTACCTATTACTGATGTCGACATATTTATTTATCAACTCTTTATTATTACTTATAAAGATAAATAAATTAAATGCAATGTTAAATGGAAGATCAGATCACTGGTCCTGGAATAAAGTTTACAATTATTAAAATATGTTAGTAAGAATTGAATAATTAACTAAAAAATAAATAATATTATTGAGTAATAAAAATATACTACGATATTACTGTTGTGGTTTTGTGATATCTGGAATACTTATATATATATAGTAGTGGAGTTTTTCAGTAGTAGTAGTGGAAAAAATAGATCAGATGATTATTATTATTGGTGATGGTTTGCTACAATGTCCAAGTCCGACTCCGACGTTAAATTATCATGGCTGCGACTGATAGCTGGCGCTCTCTAGTGTTTTTTTTTATAACCTAATACATCACTTGCCTAAGCCCATATGATATTCAAAATTCACAATCACACATGTGATAATGTGGAATTTACAATTTGCACAATTGTCATCGCTTCTGTATTAAATATTGAAATTGAAATTGAAAAGTAATGAGGATTCATGCAAGTAATTATTGTTAGTCGTTTTTTCACAAATTTACGTTTTATTATTTTTTTTTTTCCAAGAGCTTATGACAGCTTTTTCAGTTGGCATAGATGACAATGGTTGCTGTGTTATGAACAGAAGAAATTATGAGAGCAAAATTTAATTGGACAATGAGTTAAATGGATTGTTTTTTAGAATGAATTTTAGGACATTGATTATTTGTGAGGTAATATTATTATTGAACGGTATTCGAGTATCAAATCGTTTTATATTTAGTTAAGATCCCATAATAAAATTGAGATGAAATGTATGTGAAACCAATTTATTCGTGATGTGATTGGTCGAAAATAAATATTCTCATTCTGATTGGTTGAAAGTGAATATAATATACATAAACGACACATAAATATATCATGACAATAAATATGACGCGCGCGCTTGCGCGCGAAAATTAAATTCTAGTCCCATAATAAAATTGAGATGAAATGTATGTGAAACCAATCTATTCGTGATGTGATTGGTCGAATATATCATATGCATGAAAATATATGCAAACTCTATAGTCAAGGCGCGCGCTTGCGCGCGTACATTTGAATTCTAGTCCTAATATAAAATTGAGATGAAATGTATGTGAAACCAATCTATTCGTGATGTGATTGGTTGAAAATATTTATTCTCATTCTGATTGGATGAAAGTGAATATAATATACATAAACGACACATAAAATATATCATGACATAAATATGAGGCGTGCGCTTGCGCGCGAAAATTAAATTCTAATCCACTCTTATAATTTAGATGAAAAATATGAAAATATACATTGATGAAGACATTTTATTCGTAACGTGATTGGTCAAACATATCATAAGCATGAAAATATAGATAATTCAATACCAACATTCACACGCGCGCTTGCGCGCGCAACGTATACTAGTAATACAAAAATTATATTTTTGAGCTCAAAGAGCTCAAAAACAAAATAAGTGAAATGTTGAGCGTATAGGTATGGAGTTAGCAGGATGTTGCAGGGATGGCCTTTAGGGTCAACCGTTTTCCTAATTTTTTTATAAGAAATGTTTGAAGTTAGTAACTTTTGATATTTTACGTGAGTGGAAGTAAGTGAGCGATAGTCTATAAAGAGAGGCAGCACTAGTGCGTGAGAAAGAAACCAATAGCCATAACCTATTGGTGTCTTTTACTTGCCGCAATACCTCCTTAAGCTTTTTTTTTTATATAGACTAGAATTTAACTTACGCGCGCAAGCGCGCACCTCATATTTATTGTCATGATATATTTATGTGTCGTTCATGTATAGTATATTCACTTTGAACCAATCAGAATAAGAATATTTATCATCACATACATTTCATCTCAATTTCATTATGGGACTAGAATTTAATTTTCGCGCGCAAGCGCGCGCCTAACTATAGAGTTTGCATATATTTTCATGCATATAATATATTTGACCAATCACATTACGAATAAAATGTCTTCATCAATGTAAAGTACGTTCCAAAATTGTTTTTTTAATTTTTAAATTTACAACAAAATTTTTTTTAATTTCCGAAAATCATAAACAATCATATCGGTTACTTAAATTTTTTAATTTTTTTATTTTATATCTTTTTATAAAGAAAAAAACTAATTTTTTTTTCTTAATAGTCTTATGAACGTGGACTTGGCGTGATTTTTTTACAGTGAAACTGTTTTTGTTCGGATTTTAGTATTTTTTGTAATTTTAATAAAAATTTACAATTGGTACCAACTTAAATCTCGCGTTGGCTGCATTTCTTATAGCAAACTATCCTTTTGAAGCTACAGTTTATGTAAAAATAATTTCAGCGCACCCTGGCGGGTGTAGATGCAAGCTGTGAAATATCTTTTTTTAACTGTAGTTTCCCATCTAATGAAGGATTACTATGCATTCTCGAATTATTTAGTCTGTGGCAGATCACTTTGCCCATCGAAAAAAAGTCAGGATCGAAATTTTTGCGTTGCTATAGTATGAATTAGTGTTATAATATACAATTTAGGAAAAAAAAGTACCGTAGAATTAAATAAAATTTTGCAACCTCAAAATACCGTTCTGCTCACAGTAAACACAGTCGGTAGTCTGGCGCTCCGTTGACAACGGATTTGAACGGAACTTGGCGCCAGATTCTACCGAATCTGTGGATGACTAAATATAAGATAATATATAAGAAAGTATTACAATCCTGCAATGCATGATGGGAAATGTGTCAAGCGGTCGCGCCACCACGAGTGTGTCATACACACTAACCGGCAACTAAAGTATTTTCATGCTAACTCTCGCAATAATAATAAATTTTATTTAAAAAATAATCATTGCATAAAAAAATTATTTTCACCCTTTAACAATAATAATAAATAATAATAATTAAATAAAAACCTTTTTATAGCTTTTTTTATTGTATCCGTAAATTCTCCGGTTAAACTGGTTTTTCCTAAACGCAGTTTATCATTTACCTCTTACAGCTTCATGGTAAACTTTACTGTAGCGCCCACACTTTTTGATAACTTTTCATTTACCAAGTCCGGGTTCGAAACTCGACAGTTTTGATTTTTTTTTTTTTTTTTTACAATTATTATATAGTTTTATTATAATTTTTATTAATCCAATAGATTCTCAGGTCTTATACTGAATGTATTACTATTAATAATTAAATCAATTATTATTTTAAATTAATAAATTATTTATCATTAAATTTATATATATGTATAAATAAATTATGTATTACTATTAATAATTAATAATTAAATTAAATAATTATTATTATTTATTAATTATTAGTAAAAATAAGTAGATTATATGTAAAAATAAGTAGATTAGAGCTCGTCTAATAACAAGTAAGTAATTAGTATGTATACAGTCATTTTAATTTATTGAAATAAATACTTTTTTTGAAGTTTTTGTGTATTAAAATATATGAAATTATTATTGATCAAATCAATAAATTCAACGTATTACAATAGAAAATATGATAGACAGTATATATAGATAAAATATATTTATGCTAAGGACTAATATATGTATAAAATATTGTTACCCAACAAGTAACTTTTAAAAATTGAAAGCTTCAATTTTATTGAGAAAGAAGAATAAATAATGTAGTATAATTAACTTATTTGCGGACGATTTTTGTTGACGTGCGCATATATGCGCTCTTAGAGCTGAAGACTCTACAACATTGGGATTATCAGGTTGCACTGTAATGTCTTTTGCGAGAACATGGAGTCGCAATGAGATAAATTTTCCGAGTATTTTCTCGCGAATACTATGACATTTTGGGAAGACTAATGAATGATCGGCAGTTTCCAGGACACTCTTCATTACTTTTTCATGCACAGATTGCAAATGGAGAAGAGATTTTCTGTAAGTAGCAAAAACTTCTTCCGCAGTCTTCAAAAGTGTATATACTGCCTCTGTCGGATGTTTCAAGTTTCCTCGATTGATTGCATCCGTCCAAGCCGTACTCGCGTAAGGCAAAGGAACTGAAGAGATTATTAGATAAATATTAGTTTAAATATTGTTACATACAATAAAAAGTTATCCAAATGCAGATTTATTAAAAATAAATATCCATACTTACTTAATTTAGCTCTTCAATACACACTTTCAACAACAAAACATTAAAAAAAAAACAAATCGACATTTTTAAACAAATGACAATCGCGAAATTCTATGCTACTTGTATCAATCAAATAAATTAAAAATTTTCATTTCTCTAATATACACATAAATAAATAAATATTTTTAAGGATAAATAATTGTCATTATTAGGGCCAGGAAGTTGGCGTTTTTTATTTATTCAAATTTAAGGTTAAACATATGAATGCTCATTTAAACAACTGCGAAAGTCCTGGCCCTAGTCATTATAATTTCTATAAAAATATAAGTTAATTAGGATAAGAAATAATTTGCAATTAATAAGTACAATCAGATACCTCATAAGGGTAACGTTGAATTCGAAATTTCCCACCAGTAGCATTTGAATTGTTAAAAATTTCATTGTTAATATAACCCGATATTGTTCATCATATTTACTATAACATTTTCAGAAAAATTTCAATAAATTAAAATGACTGTATACATACTAATTACTTACTTGTTATTAGACGAGCTCTAATCTACTTATTTTTACATATAATCTACTTATTTTACTAATAATTAATAAATAATAATAATTATTTAATTTAATTATTAATTATTAATAGTAATACATAATTTATTTATACATATATATAAATTTAATGATAAATAATTTATTAATTTAAAATAATAATTGATTTAATTATTAATAGTAATACATTCAGTATAAGACCTGAGAATCTATTGGATTAAAAAAATTATAATAAAACTATACAATAAATGCAAAAAAAAAAAATATCAGAACTGTCGAGTTTCGAACCCGGACTTGGTAAATGAAAAGTTATCAAAAAGTATGGGCGCTACAGTAAAGCTTACCATGGAGA